GGCACGAGTCGCTGGCCAAAGCGTCAGTACGAGTGGCCACACACTCGCTCGTGGATCTGATGACATCCATGGGCGGTGGAGCCAACACGAAGGCATCTGAGAACCGCACTCTGCGATGCTTGGAGAATGCACCTGAGAATCGTGCGGATTCGTACTCGTTGGCGTACAGCTAATCGCGGATGGCATCGGAGCCAACGACCACGACGCTCTCGCGCGACGTCTACCGCACTCGAGGAGCGACTGGGTCGGGACGAAATCCATCGTTCGAATGGGATACGCAAGCTACTTTTACGTAGGAACTAGCTTGTTGCGCGAGCGCTAGGATGAACAACGTGGGGCGGGCGAGGGCCTCGAAGCACAAGACGATACATATAGCGGATACATGTATGGTCAGAAGCCAGGAGAACATGTGGGTTGTGTTTAGTCCGTGTGAATCAGACCACCAACGGATCTGTGTTCAACCCATCACTCGCAAAAGCAAAGTGGGCCATTGTCTTCCTCTGAACAAGTACCAGACCCAGCTGTCTAACCCAAGCTACAGTACCATGTACCAGGACCAATTCAGAGAGGGCTTGTTGCACGTCGAACCTGCCGGTGTCATCATATGCACGCAGGCCACGATTATCAGAGCAAACTACTCAGATACAAGTGAAACCAGGTATGTGTCTGAGTTCACTCGGTGGCACTCGCCGTTGCGTGTTTTATGGTATTGTGTGCAAAATGATCGTTTGAACGTGCGTGCTAGCGTATAAAGTTAACGGGTAGCATGGTTGGTCGATGCACCATGCAAGCCAAAGTATTGCCATATGAGTCTGCCAAGACCAGGTGCACATCATGGGTGCACATAGTCGTCTTTGGCTCTTCAGGGTTCCAAACCACATTGTTCTGAACTCCCAGATCCCATCAGATGATGTTTCTCGGATCAATGATTTCGTGGGTGCGTGACCCTTCCAATGACCTGAGAGTCCCACCTTGGCTGCTTCAATCTGAGTACGTTTGTCTGAGTACATCTCGTAACTGAGGTATCCGACTCAGACAAGGTACGCCAAATCAGCACCGTACCGGATGCGATCAACATTGTCAACTGCGCCTACCCGAACGGCAAACGAACGCTGCTTAGCTGCTCGAGACCAGGCCAGTGATACACGCAATTCATCTTTCAGTCGAGTGTTCAAGTACGAGTAGCTTGCGTATCCCGTTCGAACGATGGATTTCGTCCCGACCCAGTCGCTCCTCGAGTGCGGTAGACGTCGCGCGAGAGCGTCGTGGTCGTTGGCTCCGATGCCATCCGCGATTAGCTGTACGCCAACGAGTACGAATCCGCACGATTCTCAGGTGCATTCTCCAAGCATCGCAGAGTGCGGTTCTCAGATGCCTTCGTGTTGGCTCCACCGCCCATGGATGTCATCAGATCCACGAGCGAGTGTGTGGCCACTCGTACTGACGCTTTGGCCAGCGACTCGTGCCTCACTTTTCATTTTGCCACATCTGCATCACTAATATGATCTCGTTTGCCAAGCTCACTGCGCTCGTTGGCCTCGCGGCGTCGCTCGTCGCGGGCCAGACGTGCTTCCAGGGCGCCGACGAGATCGGTCGCACGGCGCCGTACGCGCTCTCGTCCAACGGGTCGGTGCCGCTGCGCACCGTCATTTCGCGCGACG